GGCACCAAAAAGTCTGTTATCATATTGCAATAATTGTTAGCTCTAATCGTCATCGCTTGCCCTCTTTCGTTTTCAAAAAAGTATGGTCCCATAATACCGGTTGACGTTATCCCAGCCCACACGACAAGCTGGCTGTGAAGTTGACGTTTATGCAAGCGTCGGGGATTAGTCTCGGACCAGAACCGACAATTTTGCTTATTCACATGGCCATTAAGGTGAAAATCGGCCTCATCACTAAACTTCACGTTGTTAAAATTGTTGAACCGCTGGAGCATCAAATTGACAAAGTTAAGTCGATTATTGGCATCATCTGGTTTTAATTCTTGGACTATCTGAATCTTATAAGCCTTCAAATGCAAATCACGCTTCAAAATTCGTCGCAAAGTCGTTCTTTTGATATCCAAAGACTGACTTCTCTTACATGTTGACTGTTGCGGATTTCGCTGAACTGAAACACGAATACGCTCCACAATGTCGGCTGATCTTGCAGAAAGTGGGCGACCACGAGCCGTAATTGGTACTGTCGAGCCGGTTGTTTCGAACATTCTGATCCATTTCCGTATCACATTGGCGCTTGGAACTTCACTTAAATCGCGTAAACCGTGTTCATGTCGACACAAACGTCGTGCAGTAATCACTGATTTATTGTTTTGTAATACGCCCGGACACAAAATACTCGCTGCACTCCCGTGTACGGCTCCATGGCTAAATTTCCAGGAAGCGGCGCAGCTAACAACATATAACCCCCGCCACCCCGCGCCACGTGTTTCCGAGAAATTGAAGAATTAAATCGCCAACACTCATGGCCCACCCGTTATTTAAGCAATTTATATACCGAATTGGTAGAAAGTTCATGCACATATTTTAAAATAAAGTGATTCGAAAATAATATCGATAAAACGAACACAACTAGATTGTCGCTCTCCGATTCGAGACTCACTTCATTTCGCAAGTGCGAACCGCATGTTTATATAAGTCCAAATCAAGTTCAAGCAGGTTCGCTTTCGAAATGAGCTTTGTCACTCAGGTGAAGCTCGATATCGAAATAGTTATTTACAGAATAGCTGGTCTCATTGTCTTACATGCAAAAAAAAAACATATAAATGAGAAAATTGTGTTTGTACCAATAAATGAACATCGAGGAGAGGTTTAGAAGTAACATAGTACAAGGACTTGCATCACTTTCATTTAAAAATAGTGCCCATTATATGTATAGTACATTATTTAGGCCATACATTTAAGCAACGAAATTAAAACTGCATCCGATAAAATTAAAATGACGTGGACTAGAAACGAGCAAGGTTAAACCACGCATACATTTAAGCAACGAAATTAAAACTGCATCCGATAAAATTAAAATGACGTGGACTAGAAACGAGCAAGGTTAAACCACGCATTTCGAATTTTCAATTGAATATTAAGAATAATTTAACTCAATCTGATCAAGAAGTTGCTGTGACTTTTGAGAAATATTTTAGTGATGTTGCTTTTTTTTTACAAGAAAATCATTAAATTCTCCAACTGTCGCCGAATCATTGCTTAAACAAAATGCAAAGTCTTGTTCAAATACTTTTAAATTTCATAGAGTATGCCAAAAGATATTGTTATATATTTCAAAACTATTGATGTTAAGAAAACGGCAGACTTATAGGGGAATTCCGTTAAAGTTATTGCATCTATAGTAGGTAAAATAGCAGCTTATCTGGCCACGATTTTTAATACAAGCATCGCATCTGGTGTGTTTCCTAATCTAATGAAACATAGTAAAGTCATACCTTTATTTAAATCTGGTAGTACATTAGACCCTGCCAATTTTAGACCAATTTCTGTATAACCAACATGAAGTAAATTTTTCAAAAATTTTTTTTAGGTTAGATGTTAAGTTTTTTTTAAATAAATAAATTGCTTCATAAAAATTAATTTGTTTTTACAAGGGGTCGCTTGACTTCCGACGCCAGAGTTGAGTTTATAAAATATGTTTATTGTGCATGGGAAAATTCAGAGGATGCTTTGGGTGTATTTTGTGATCTTTTCAAGGACTTCGACTGTGTTCACCATGAGACATTAATCAGGATGCTACAATACTATGGTGTCAAGAACATAGCGCCTAAACTTTTATTTCCTATTTAAGTAATAGAATGCGGAAAGTTATTATCAATGGTAAAAGTTCTTCCGGGTTGTCCGTAAAAATGGGTGGCACTCAATGCTCGATTTTTGGCCCATTACTATTTTTAGTGTATATCAATGACTTACCTTCCCTTGTAAGGAATAATCATGATATAGTTTTATATGGTGATAATACTTCCTTGATTTTTTAACTTAAACGTCAATCACTTAAATGTGTCGAAATGAATAATGCTATATCAAAATCAGTGGAATGGTGTAACGTTAATAATCTAAATTTAATAAAATTAAATGTATTAAATTTACAACAACAAATGTTAAAAATCTGAATACCAATGTGTTTTTAGATGGGGAAGAACTGAGCCCTGTTGAATCATCTGTTTTTCTTGGCATAACTCACGATGAAAAGTTTCAGTGAGGCCCCCATATATCCAAACTAGCAAGCAGACTCACTAGTGTCGAGACAGCTAGATTAGTTTATTTAAGTTATTTTCAAAGCAAAGTATCTTATGGGATTTTGATATGGGGAAATGAGGCTGATTAAAAACTATTTTTGTTTTGCAGAAGAGTTCCATTAGGGCTATTTACAACCTTAAACCGAGAGTCCCTTAGAGACAATTTTTAAGAAATAAATATAATAACTTTGGCCTCTCAGTATATTTACGAAAAATTAATGTATGTTCACAAAAAGAAAGATAGTTTTAGGGAAACAAAGTGATATACACTCTGTAAACACTAAAAACAAATACAAGCTAGAGATACCAGTCTTAAGTGTGACATAAACTAATTAAAACTAAAATTAACATTTAAATACTTGTACTCTGTAACAGCCTTATTAATAAAAATTGCTTTTTCCAAGCTTAATTCGACGTTAACTTGGACTAGTTAATCTCAGAGTAACTGAGTATTCACTTCTATATTACAATGTTATTAATAAATATGGAGTAACCTCGTACTAACAATACATTCCTTACGCCGGGATCAAGTATTTCTTATATACAAAAGTACTCTGTGATTAAGTAAAATGAGTGAGTCAGTGAATGATTGGTGAATGAACTCAATGCTTGATGATGACATCAATGACAGTGACGGCAATATTTTGAGTTTGACAACTTGACAAGAGTTGAAAATGGTTGAAAAATACGCGTTACGTGTTGTTTCTCGTGTTGTTTTCGGACCCAGTGGAAAAACTAAGTTCCAACTTAAAGCACTTTTAATCAAGTCTTAAAATGGATCAAAAACGCAATCGCTCTCAAAATTGGGATGAAGAAGAAAAGGTAATTTAAGTCAATAATTTTATTAATTTTTTATTAATGAATGGTTGTACCGTGGTCTTTATTGATATTATCTTTTACTGTTTAAGCTTTTATTTCATGCTGTGCTCAACGATTATGCGGACATTATTGAAAATTAATCAAAAACAAAAATAAACTATACATTTTCAATTGGGTCTATTTGGTTAATATTCATACAACTAATTTCATCTCATGTACTTACAGGTTTAACGAGTTCACAGGTCAGCTAAAAATACAGTGGAAAACTATGAAGGTAAATGCTCTGAAGAAATACAGCACCTACAAAAAACAATTGACTAAAACAGGTGGTGGGGCAAGACCTGCAACTCTTAATGATGGATTAATAGAAATCAAAGATTTGTTGAATCCTGCAGAGGTGTTGAGGGATCATAATATACTCGTATATGATTCAGATGGGATTGTGGATACATTTTTTATTCTTTAGTTTCTTAGCAAATATATACATACATACTGCTATACTGCTTATAACATTTTAGAAGACTAATTCCTCAATTCATTCATTCATCAATCATTCCCATTCTATTTAATTATGTAAGCAATTATTGTTTTTCTGTTTATGTAGTGTATGTTATGTTTATCAACAGTAATATTTTTAATAACTGGTTTTCATTTACGGAACCATGATGACTATATAAACAACATGATGAGCCATAACAAAATGTTGAAAGAGGAAGAACAAAGAGACGTTTGGAAATGGCTGAAGAGGAACATGTAATTAAAATGGGAAAACATGCAATTAAAATGAAAATACATAAATAATAACTAAAATGTGCAATACTCGAAAGAGAAATTTTAGAAATAAGAAAAGTGTGTGAAGTGCAAAATTAATATAAAGAAAAAAATATATATATACATTTATTCTTAAAAAATAAAACAAAAACAGAAACAGAAACTTTTTTTTTTCAATATAAATAATACTTATTGAAATTCACTCTTTTGTTTAATTACCACTGGTTCGAAAAAAAAACCTCTGTCCTGGGAAGAACCAACCTTTTTAAACTAGAATTAAAATAATTGTATGTAACACAAATTAACAACACAACAAATTAGAAATAGCTTGGTAGCGATCACCTCATTTCCAGGGGTTATTATCATCCATAAATTCTTTAATATTATAATAACCCCTTTTTATATAAAGTTAGTTAAATAAAGCACTCAAAAGTTTTTATATTACATAGCATCATATTGACTTGAAATGTGCTGTACCCTGCATCTTTCCCTGAAACAATAAATTACGGCCTAAATAAAAGCACTTTACTCTAAAAATGAAATATTATCACATTACTTCCCTGGATTTATTCCATATTGATAAAAATTGTATGTAGTCATTATGCTTTGACAGTTGACAATGACGCAGCAGAAATATTTTCCTTTATATATGAGTATTATGTCTGGAATCAAAAATTGTTATTATAATAACTTATATATTTACTTATCTTTTTGTTGAAATTTGTAAGCCACAATTGGCCTCTAAATTACAAAATAAAATAAGTTAAATATACATACACAGCTTTTGACGGCGAAATGTTTTTATTTTATTTTGTAGATGTAAATATTGCATTAATTATTTTTAAAATTTTCATTAATAAATGCTGCCCGTACTGAACTTCCTCTTAGGTAGTTATTTACTAATTCTGTAACTGGAACGTTTCTATCATCTTCTATTGCATCCTCAAGCAGATCTTGCTTGTGCATTGCAATGTTCTGCAGTATTGCCAATGCAGCAACATATAGTTTTGTATTCACTAATTTTGTATTAAGTCCTAGCTGTAAACACCGAAACCTTTGCTTCCACACTCCAAAGCATCGTTCTACAGTGTTTCGGGTCCTGATGTGCGATCGGTTGTACATTTCTTCCTTTTGTGTATTGGGACGCAGGATAGGAGTGAATAAATAAGGAGTACAAGCATAACCAGAATCTCCGAGAAGCCTGCCTTTAAATTCTGACTGCTCAAACCTTTGTTTTATGCGACTTTCATTAAATATTCTTGAGTCATGTGTGCTGCCTCGCCAATGTGCCACTATTTCCATGATCTCTAAATTAGCATTTGACACAACCTGGAACAAAGTGCTCATAGCTTTGTTAATATGAAATAATAGATTAAGGAGATTATACTGAATCTGTCTAAGATATAACTAGGTAACTATATGGCAAACATGGGCTAGTTAGGTGCTATAAAACTTATTTGTACATTTATTGAACTGTATTCTTTCCTGTTTATGCAGTATTGTCCGATATTTCCACAGACTTTCGGGATTCGAATATGTGTGCAATCAATAGCCCCTATCACTTGTCTAAATCCACATACTGAATAAAAACCTGTAATCACATGCTTCTGCTCCACATCACTTTGTGGCATTTTAATCCACTGTGCTCTTTGTGCTACTAGTGCTAAAGCAACTTCTTTGCATACAAGTGATATTCTTGGCTGGCTCATTCCACTTAGATCTCCTGCATCATCTTGTATCTGTTGAGAACAAAAGTAATTGAATTAGAAATCATAACAACTAATAATTATACACTTAATTGTAAAAACTATTGATAATGGGATATGTTAATGTTGAAGGTAAAAACCTATAAAATTGATAATAGGTACATAGTAATTACCTCTCCACGGGCCCATGTTCTTATAGCAGTCAAAACTTTTAGATGGGGTGGTATAAATCCACCTCTTGAATCACCGGCCAAATCATTTTTCACTATGTCAATAAGGAAAACGGCAGTACCGCGAGAAAATCTGTATTTCATTTTAAATTCGGCTTCTTGAAGTTCTTCCAGTGGATTCTTACGAATTTTATAAAATGTTACACGTCTCATTAATGGAATCTGATTAACCACTTCATTAATTTCAACTATCACTCTCATATCATCAATGAAATAATGTCTATCCATCTTGAGGTTGTTGACAATGAACTAAAGTAACAAATATTAATGGAAATAACGAAATACGAACTTAGGAACTACAACGTGCGTAAAGTTTTACAAAATGTCAAAATACGCGCCTAAACACTATGCTTACTCCGTCGTTAATCTATGTATCGCCAAGGATTAACTTTTATTCCGACAGTAGATTCGGATTAGCTTATTCCCTCCTTACTCTATGTTTATTAATACTAAAGTTAGTTATTTTAAACTTCAAACTAGGAGTAAAGTTAATCTTGCTCAAGTCTATGTTTATTAATAAGGCTGTAAGTGTTTAACCTTAAATTAATAGACTGACTAGATACCGCCGGCGCTCATGTAAAATGCGGCAACAAATACTACGCCGGAATCGGCGTACCCGAGCCAGTCGCATTGCAGGCAACGTGTGAGGTTGACGTACCGAATATTTTGTTAAATTTTGATCATAATCCGAAGTAAAATACCAGTTTACGCATTGAAACTGTGTAAAAATAATACTACAACAAATAAGAAAGACACTGGAATCACATACTGTCAGTAAGTAGCATACAATTTCGTAATTTTAACATAACACGAACCATAAATAAGTCACCAAATATGAATGACGCTATTCAGTGTTGCCGCGCATACAAAAATAAAGTTCCCCGTGGCTGAGATTTTTTAAGTGAATTTATTGTTACTATATTTCATAACATAATATATTTAACTTATTATAATATAACCTAATTCTATATTATTTAATGTTTATTTCTGTAGTATTGCTCAAATGACATAATTACCGTTTATTAGGGTTCCGTACCCAAAGAGTATCAACGGAACCCAACTCTCCACTATCGTTCCGTCTGTCTGTCAGCAGACTGTATCTTATGAACCGTAATATGTAGATACTTGGAATTTTCACAGAATGTGTATTTATATTGCTGCTATAACAACATAAAATAAAATATTATAGGACCCAATTTTTTTTTTATTTTTAAATAATTTGTGAATATTAGTTAGACATGTAAATAAAAAAATTAAACTGATAAAAGGAGGCCTTATCATTTATATGTCATTTATTCAGAAGAAAAACCTATATATAATATACCCAAATATAATGATACATTCGTTATTAATAAACTATTCATTTTTGAGTATTTCGGGAATACGTTCATAACTACGAACTTAACTACTAAGCCATAGATAGCATAAAATAAATTCTCCCGTTAATCGGGTAATAGTTAAGAGGCTACTCCATGCGAACGACCTTGAGCATTTGACCGGCGCGCCGCTCGCTACAATATATTATTGCGTAAGAAATATGTAAGACGCCACCTATTGTACGAACGTAGTATTATTTTTTCAACATCAATAAACTATTTTATGGAAATACACACAGCGTACAAAGATAAATGTATTTTAATTTTTTTATTCGGTATATATTAGTTGCATTATATTAGAATTATGTATTTTCATATATTATCTAATTATGAAATTTTATAATTATATATTAAAAATGAAGCATTGAAAATTGTGAGTTTAAAAGATACCTATTCACTATAGGTAAATAAATAGATAGCTCGGCTTTTGTACAAATATTTGGTGCAATAAAAAATAAATAAATAAATAGGATATTTCGCAGATGTGTTTTTGATTATTGTTAAATTTTACGTGTCACGTATTGAAAAGTAACATACCTACCTACTAATTTTTGAACTGAGTACCTTGTAACTTAGCCTGCTTATTTCTACATACGTAATTATATTTATTTATACACAAGGGTAACTTTAATAAAGGTAATACAAAAATCAACAAGAAGTATAAGAGTTCAATCTTTCAATTTCAATTTTTAAAAAAACGTCACCCCCACACTAGGATTTTTTCCTGTGTCGTGGAGGCAGTTTACAAACATAAATTGCACAAGGACAAACATCCAGACCAGAAACAATTATTTGTAGGCTATACAAATACTTGTTCCGTGCGGGATTCGAACCCGCGGCCCTCAGCGCAACAACTGATTGCTAAGCCACTGCGCCACGGAGCCGTCGCCGGGTTATAGGTAAAGTGACCATACGTCCCGTTTTGAACGGGACTGTCCCTTTTTTCGGTCACCTGTCCCATTGTCCCCAAATAAAGCTCCGGGACACAAAATTGTCCCGTAACTCGTTGGATGGAAGTATTCAAAGCCAACAATCTTCAACATAATTTTTTTAATCGAATATATTTTATGTCTACCTGGTACAAATGCTCCAGTAGAAAAAGTATTTTTCTATTTTAAATAAATTGTGGACGTCTGAAAAAACACTTACGGTTCCAGTTCTAAAGGCGATATTGTTAACAAAGGTAACAATAAAAAAACTTGAGCAGAATTTTATTCTTATTTAAAATCATCACCAACTTTATTAAAGCAAATTTAATCCACTGACAAATGTAATTAATAATTTAAAAAGAAAATCTAATAATTACCGTCTATACCGAATATAATTTTATATTGAACACTTGTATAAAGTTATAGTTTTTAGAGTATAAATAAACCCACGTCCTGTTTTGAGTTAAAAAATAAATGGTCAGTTTAGTTTTTTTTAGTTAAATTTAGTTTAAAAAAATTTTAGTTTATAGTAAAAAGTAGGTATATTAATACCTACTTAGATACTTTTTACCGAATTAGGGTGGAAGCCCCTAATACCAGTCATGCCCCTAATTCCAGTCTTTTCGCCTTTTTACTCCATAAATAAGATTTCTAGTAGTCTTAACTACAAATATTGTCATCTAAAAAATTCTTTGTACCTAGAGGAAAGTATATTTATTTAAATATTAAGTACTCGTACCTCGCAGTTTTAAACCTAACAGTGTTAAAATCAAAACAGGTACGCAACGAAAAACGATTATTTTCCTAATTATTTGACAAGGTATGATCCCGGTAAAATTATGCTTACTTTACATTATCTCATTTATAGGCTTTTTGATTTGTATGAATATGACTATAGACATAGTAATGCAGTTATTTTTGTTTGAATTTACAAGTTATTTATTTTCTTGTAGTGGAAATTAATGGGGCTGTAATTAGATAATATAAGAAATGTATGGAGTGCATAATGTCAGCCGCCCGGCTGTTATTTGGTTTGACGTATATATAAGATGTACCTAATTTCAGCCACGTAATATAAATCAGGGCTGCCATAAACTGGAATAAATACCATTAATTAGATCATAACTTATTTTATAGCTAAGGGAGTTATGATCAATTCGTTTGTTTTAAAATTGGTTTTAGATTTTAAAGTTTAGCAAAAGATGTACTAGCTTTTCTCTCTGACATTCGGCGTATAGAACACCTTATGTACTCAATTATTTTTTGAAAAAGAAGAAAAAAACAAGCAATAAATAATATACTATATTTTAGAAAATAACTATAACTTAGTAATACTAATTATAACTTAGAACATAAATGAAAAACTCATAACTGACTTTTTGGCCCGACCCAGGATTCGAATCCGAGATCTCATGATCAGCAGTCGCACTACTACAACCACTAGACCAACGAGGCGGTACTATACCTAATAAGATATTGTGGTTGGGTATTAGGATTATTTTTAACTGTATACTGATAATATTGAATTAGTTTTTTATAGTGTAAATTATAATATTTGTCGAAATGTTAATTATGGATTCGAACCTTACATGCTAATGGTGCTTCATTTTTTTATTTGCATTTACTTCAAAGAAAATACACGCAAAAAGCTTCATCCCGCAGTAAAAAACACAACAAATATATGTATAACTAATACGAAAAATTATACCCAAAACAAACAAATAATACTACCTATAAATAACCTAATAAGTAATAATATTATAATATTATCGACAGATAAGATGACATGAGCGTGTGCGCTGGCAGACGCTCTAACGACACGGGCTCCACGTGTAAGAGCTCAGCGCTCACTGACTCTAGCAAGCCCGCGGGCAGTGAATACACCCAGATTTTAAAATAATTTCTTAATAAAATCAAATTTTGGTCTTTTGAAAAAAAATTTATAATAGAAATGTTCATTAATAAATTGCCTATCCATTGGTGTAAATCGCAAAATAAAATAATACTTACTTTACGAGGAGATGCATGTTATCAATAATAATTTCACATTTATGTGGTTTCGTTGTAAGGAGATTATATTAATATTTAATCCTTAAAAAAAATTGGATATAGCTTTTATGGAATCAAGATTATGTAGAAATATAATGTGTTTTTTATTTGTTGATATATCTTTTAAATAAAAAGTAGATAGCTCCTAAAAACCGCACAAATAACGACTAGCGCGACATTTTGCTCAACCTGCGCCTCAAGATGCTGGCATATACAATTTTTCACGCACACTAGCATCTTGCAAATTGTCTTATACACACTACAAAATTAAGATGCCGCAATCACGGAGCTGTTACTTTCAGGTAGCGCGGTATCTAGTCAGAGCACGCGATGACTTATCATTAATCTATGGGTTTAACGTAGATAATTCCGTTTCAGAACATCAATTATTAAGTGGTTGTTTGTTTGATCAAGCACTTTAGTATTTTTAAGTAGCATTTTAGGAGGTAATTAAAACTATTTAAGGTGAAAGACTGTCACACTTACCCCATCAATGAGGCAAGTGTGACAGTACGCTTCTGTTTGTAGTTACTTCATTATTAACTGTAGTTTTCTAGAAAATTTATGAGATGATACTAATGACAATATATTTTATGATTTATTTGAACAATTTGAACGTCTATTTTGTGTAACAAAGGATTTTCTACGCATGGGGTAAGTGTAACAGTTTTTAACCTATATAGTGAGGTGTCTATAAATGGATTTATGTCACACTTGCCCTGAATGTTTTGAAAGTGTAATAAAACAATGCTAAGTGAAAAATAACTTTAATTTCGCTTAGTTGCAAAATATGGGAAGAATGAGGCGGTAGTTTTAAAAGGGTAATATTGTTTTCGTTAGCCTTTATTATAAAAATTAAGTCAAGGTGTGTTGA